CGACGGGAATCTGGAGCAGCCCCCAAAACTGGGGGTCGAGCCCCAGCGAGAGGGAGGTTTCGCTACCGCAAACGCGGGAGACGGACCCTGCGAGCCAGACACTTACAGAAGCAGAGGAAGAGGGTGTCCACGCACATGCCGTACACGCTGAAGAACCCGTGGGCGATGAGGTAGGAGCCCACGATCACCGTCTGGAAGAGAAATTGCGTGGTCAGGCCACGACCTCGCATCTGCGAAGAGCGCCGAGCCCCCGCCCCGCCGCCGGGAGGGGGGAAACCTGCTGAATCCCCAATTCCCCGGGGAAGGGAACAGGGCAGGACTGTTCAGCCCAGCCCGATGCGGGACAAAAGGCCCCAGCGATGCCGGTGGACGGAGGCCAATCTGGGCAGCGCAGGAAGGGCGAGACGCCTCTTCGTGGCCGGCCGAAACAAAGGGCTCATTTTGATGGGGACAGAGAGAACGCCTTCAACAAAGAAGGTCCTTCAGGAGCGGTGAGCGGAGGCGGGGCGTAAGGCATTTGCGTTACAGAGCTCCTTCCATCACTTCTAAATTCACCGGAGGATGAGAACGCGGCTCACCAGGATCGGGACCCAGTAGTAATTCAGGGGCGGCGCTGTGTCTTGGACCAGCTTTATCCGCTGGGTGAAGAAAAAGAAGGCCAGGATCCCTGGAAAAGCAAAAGGATGCCAACTGCCGGGGGATGCGGGGCGGAAGGAAGGCGGCGAACGGGTGCGGGGGAGAGGTAGAACGGGACCGAAAGGAAGGGTTTCGCGGGAGGAGTGAGGAGAGCGGAGGTTTGGGGCAGGCGGAACCAGCTGCGAGAGCCCCCAGCGGCCGTACGCCCCGAGGAGGAGCCTCCAGCCCCCAGCACTTACCGACGCTTCCCACGATGAGGAGTTTACCGAGGAAGAAGAGGAAATCCGTGACTTTATCTAAAACGGCCACCCTGGAAACAAGAGAGAGATGAGCATCCACGTCCGCTCCCCCAAGCATCCACGTCCGCTCCCCCCCGGCCCCCCGGCATTCCCAAGGAAGCGCGGGAGGAGGTGGCCAACACGCACACGCGCTGCGAACGCGGCAGAAAAGGCGTTGGAAGCCTGAAAACAAGGCGGGCAGGTGGGCGTTGATCTTGGGTGGGAAGAAGGGCTTGGAAGGAAGC